TAGTCTCTCAGTCTGTCACAGTCTTCTGTTTTATACATATTCTTCAGGGATATTGATGGTATTTAATAGAAGATTTAAATAAAAACATTTATTCCATGCTCCTAAACACAAAAGTTTGCTCCTTTCTTTTCCTTTGTTTCTTTCATTTGGAATTGGGAGGCCACGATACAACTTTTACATCAGTTTATTTATGGAAATTAAACATAAAATTATTGAAAACTAATTAATGAGTTTTTACTGAAAGGGAAAACTTCAGCTTGAGAAAACACTTCCATTGGCAATTCATATTGAATATGCTTTTCCCTTCTGGTCTTCAATTTCTTCCTGCTTGTTTCACAAAGTGTTTCACTCTAATACATTTTCTCTGGACACTAGCTTCACTGTTTTACAGTGACCTTTTCTCCCTCATTTTAGAGTAGTTACCGAATGATACCCCATGGGAGTCTCATCCTCTCGGCTTACTGTTATTCCCCTATGCCGATTATAAAAGTAGCAAACACTAGTGCTTAACTGTTGCATAACTGAACAGTAACTGCGAATTTAAAATTTTCACTGTCTGTCCACCTACTTTGTGCAGCCTGAATGTACAGGAGCTTTAAATTTGCACTGTACAATTCTCTACCCAACACTCTTTAGGCTTGTGGTTAAGACTCTAGAAGATTTTGCCCAGAATTTTTCAGTGTAGGAGAAAAGCAACTGCAAACTTCAGCACATGTTGAAGGTCAAGTTCTATTGTGTAGTACTGCGTGCAGTTTTCAATTACAGACAGGCAGAATCCCATGATGTTTCCCAGATGGGCATGTGACATTCACCCCTAGTGCCCCTAAAGTGACCTCATGAATAAGATAATAACCTTTAAAACCATTGAAGGCTAGTTTCCTAGTTCTCTGACGTTCACAAATAATGTTTAGGCAAGTCACGGTTTGAATTGTCAAATAATATTTAATATATGTGCATTCCTGGAGAGGGAGCCGGATCCATTACTCAGATAAGGCACTGAACATCATTTTAGACTTACTACAAACATAATTTACTTTAATACACAATCGCTCCCAAATTTTCAATCACATATGAAAATGTAGGCCTTTTACATAAGGTGCTCTGTATCTTTGGCTTAAATGTTAACGATGCTTACTTTGCTACTTGGCTTTACATTTTGCTGGAGAAAATATTTAAAGATTGAATTCACTCCACTTTTATTAGAAAGTATGGAAATGTTTGTACATGGGAAAAATCTCACTGCATGCTAGTATGGAAATTCACCAGGGAGGGGGAAAGCAGTTCATTTTATTGCCTAAGAGCTGTTGATATACTCCCTGAATCTTTCAAAGGCATCTTTCATGCCACACAGGCAACCCACAGCCAGTAAGAGAACAGAAAGAACACTTCTCACATGTGTCAATCTTAGCAAACTTGCATAGCAGCTGTGCTAGGTAGTGATGGGGATTATCACAAGACCCAATTGCAGGGTTTTGCCTGCTGGAAGAGACACCCCAGCCTCTCAGGGGACCACTTTGTTGGAGATGGGAGCAATAATGCATCTCTGTTGCTAGTGGATATTGTGGGCATGTAGCACAAAATTGGTGCTAGATAAAATCAGAAAGTAATAAAAATGCAAAAAAGAAAACTGGGAGGTTTGGTTTTGTTTCGAAGTCTTAAAGTGGGAGAACAAAACAAATGGGCTAGGTTTGTTGTGTTTATAGAAAAGAAAACATTAGATATGCCTTTAATGAAGAAAACTCGCAGGGCAGGGCATTCAGTCTTCCGGCTTGAGAACCGTTTGGGTACACTGAGAAATAAAGTTGCAAAGTAAGCATGTTCAGACCTTTATTTGCTATTTTTTGTTCTCTCTCTCTCTCTCTCTCTCTCTCTCTCTCTCTCTCTCTCTCTCTCTCTCTTTCCCTCTCTCCCTCTCTCCCTCCCTCCCTCCCTTCCTCTCTCTCTCTTTTTCCCTCCCTCTCTCCTATGAGCCAGAGTTTTCTGTGCAAATGAAACAGGCGTTGTAAGAATGAGATTCACTTTGGACGACTCTTCACATTCCAAGTCATGACTGCGTTAAGCAGCACAATCCCATCTCTGGTTGATGGGCAGAAAAAGTGGGCAGCTTGCCAGGTAGACGTTTCCATGACTCCAAGCCCCCAAAGGTGATGCGTTTTTCAGCTAATTCAATGAAGAGTGGGCTGAACTTTGGGTCTAAACGAGACAATAGCTGCCTTCGCAGTATCAGCAGAATGGTTGATGGGAATGCGCTCACTCTACATTTGGCAGAGAATCATGTGACCTGACGACTGAGATTTTGTGATGGTGCCAACGGAGACTTGGAAGCAGCAAACGGGCCTGACTTTTTTCTTCTTTTCTATCAAGGATCAGAAAATGGTGGATCTTAATACTTGACTTTAGCCAGACTCAGCAAACAACTGAGCTTTGAAGCACAACTTCGCCTTTATTCTGGGCTTTTGGCAGGCCACCAGGAGGCTGTCCCTTTCACGCCTGATAAATTCTGCTGCTTATCTCTAAAGAGAGAGAGAAAAGGAAAATAATAATAACAGAATATTGAGGCATAACAAGTGAATCCTAAAATTGTATGTGCTTTTTTTCTTTTCATTTTTTACCTTTTCTGACTGCTGATTTTTTAAAAATTTTATGTTAATACCCTTTTTTGGTTACTGAAGAATTCAAGTAGTTGGGTTATTTATTTATGTATGTATTTGGTTCATAATGAACAGGCATTTGAACTGGTCGAACAGGACTACAGAGCAATGAGCATGAGATCATTGCAGCCGAGTAGCAAACTGGCACTCAGCCTTTTCACCCCTTCGGTTCGGGAGACGAACGTGTGCAGTCCTCATTTCTCAAGTCAGCTCAGCCTGGAAGGATTCCGGGTCTCTCCCACCTTCTACCCTTCTGCTGCCAGTTGATGGCAACGATTGGTGCAGATTCTGCGCAGTGCTTTGTGCTTGGAATATGGAGAAGGAAGAGAAGGAAGACAAGCTCTCTGGACCTCCTTCTCTGAGAAATACCGGGAGCCCTGAAGAAACAGAAAAAAAAAAAAAAAAAAACCCAAACCAAACAAAAACCCTGAGCTTCTCAGTATTCGCAAGAGAGCCGGAAAAATACTGATAATGGTGCCGTACGCCTGCGTGAAAACAAAAACAAACAAAAATGCAAACTGAGACAAACCAAAAAAGCAAACTTTGACTTGTCTAACTCCTGAGACATCGGGCTTCGTTAAGCAGCTTTGGAGGCAACACAAACCTATGAGCCTTCTTTGTTTTTATTTATTTATTTTTATTATTATTTCAAAAAACAATCAATGGCCTAAGAGCAGTACATTGCACTTGGTGAACCCGCACTTTCATATCAGGTATAACTTTTGTTGTTTCTTTTTTTGCTTTCTATTCCATAATTCAGGGTCCTTGCAGTTTCAATTTATTCTTATTAACTCATTACCCGCTTTACACTTTTTCTTTTGCTTTCCTACTCTAATCGTGATTAGCATAGACACTAAACTGAAAATAGAAAACTCTCTACAGACTTATGGCCCTGCTTTGATTGTGCACAGAAGTTTTAGGCAGACTGTAGTGTGTGTTATCTCTGATTTTTGTTTTCAGTAATATATTTTGTGGAGAAATAGGCTTGGGAATCAGTAGTACAGGAAGTAAAACCTTTTTTGTGACTCATAATTTAAAAATGTAAAAGAAGAAATTTCTCGAAGTTCTAAAAAGAGAGCTTAATTCAAAAATGCATCCACATAACGCTAAATAAAATTACTTTTTACACTGGTTGCAGCTTAGAAGAGAGATGGGGATTAAAAAAGGGCATATTCTCTGTTGTGAAGTAAAAAAAAAAAAATAGCTTGTTCCTTAATAATTCTACTAAAAATACAAGGAAAAAGAATTTGCCCTAGAGCAGTTGCGAAGTGTTGCAAGTTGCCCTTCACTGTTGCGGTGGGGAAAGTCTGTACAAAGTTGCTTCAAGTTCAGAGTTGCTTTGGCTCGGCAGGTGAATACATTGTATTCTAATTATTTTCTCTATTTGTAGAAGGAAATTGCTGAGCAAGTTCAACAGCTTGTAACAACAAAATGCAGTTTTTCCTTTTTTAGTAGTAGAGGATGATATATCCCCTTTTTAAAATTTTCTTCATTAAAAATGTTTCTAAAAATGTAAGAAAATCTCAGAAAAGAAAAAAATGCTTTGAGATATGCAGTGTGTGTCAATTAAGATTACAATTTTCATACTAAGAACTGACATGATACTATTATCCATGAAGAATAAACTTTAGCATAATTGTTATGATTTCAAAATTATATTTCATGATATCATAAACAAGTAGGATAAACAAAGAGAAATATTATACAGCTGGTTAATTGTCTTCCTTTGGTCATTTGTGAAGGAATTATTAGACATTACACAGACCTAATATACAGATAAGATTTGAAGCAATGTTTTATTGACTTTATTAGTTATTGTTCACTAATTATTTGCAGAATAGCTCTTCTTCCTCCTTTGTTAGTGGAAAGCCAACTTCCAAAGGCTTAATTAATATTGATAAACCTTTTTTTCATGTTTCATGATCCTTTAGTATTTAAAAAAAACATTATTTTGAATGTTAATTTTAGGAGCCATTAATCTCCACACTCTTAATTATCTTATTAAGCTCCATGCCAAATCCAAAGCTCTTTTCAGCGTTCACCCTTCATTGTGAAGAACTAGTCACTTCCGTAAGAGGCACATCCTTTTACTTTCAGAGCTGCTCCTGTGAAAGCAACCCCAACCAAAATGAACATGTACGGCAAACTGTGAAAGTAGTTCTGTGTCATATGAGTATCTTGGGGTGGGGCCCTCTGACTCTGCCAAGCCTTAAGAAAAAGACTTTTAAGGGTTTTCCCATTATGACATTGTTCTGTCTTCCTGTCCACCTCCTTCCGTTGTTCACAATCTACATAGATGATCCTTGTAGGTGCCAGTTGTCTGATATTTTCCTTTTGTGGTTGTTTTAGGGGAACATTTAAAGTGCATATGAGAAGAGAAGAAAAATGACCACAGGAGAAAAATCATCTCAGGTAAAATGAAAAGGCACGAGTGTGAAGTGTAATTAACCTTGAATATTAAAGAGAAAATGATTATGTCTGTGTTTGGTATAAGAAATTGTCCTTCCCTTTATGAAGGTACCTATTGGAGTTTTCTTTGATGGTTTTCTTTCAAGAGTTTACAGTATTACTTGCCTTTGTAAACCTTTTGTTTGGTTTTGTGATCAATGCCCAGTTTCCATCTTTCTGAGGACATACGTGTATGTTGATTTATACAATACAGGTACAAGATGGTTGAATAGGAATCTAATTAATAAAAAGACAAATCTGTTGTCAGTGGTTATACCATATAAAAGGAAATAAAATCTGAGAGAAAGGTATAAACTCATAGTCTGATTTTCATAGATCTAATAAGACAATAAAGCTAAAGTATACTTTGTAGAAAGAAAAGCTACAGCCAGCGTTTCCTCTTTTATTAAACATGAAATGTATAAATATATGTTGAAATACTTTTATTACAATTGGGTGCATGATTGTTGATTATTTACTACAGTTTTAATAAGTAGATGAATGATTTGAAAATAAATAACGATGAAAATTTGTGTAGGCCAAATTATCTGTATTAAACTCTAGAAAATACATTCTATTTTTATTTATTTCAAAACATGCCAGATCATGAAGTAATTACTATGCAGTATTATTTTTCACAATGAAGATATAATTAAGAAAAGTTAAATCATTTTAGATATGAGTGAAATGATTAACGACTGTACAACTTACAATTTTGCTGCAGATGAGCTTAACATTCTAAAAAAAAGTACACGTAACTGGTTTTATGTGTGCTCAGTGGGTTGCTTTCTTACAGTGTAGTAGTTTACAAAATTAAGAATCATTTATTTCACTTCAACCTGTTGAACAGAGAGAAGTTATATGTGACTGTATATTTTGTTGAAAGGTCAAAGATCTTGGAAAAGAAATTTAAATGTATTTTGTTGAAAGGGAATGTATGCTCTTTGATGTGATACAAAGAATCCAGAATAGCAGGAATAACACAGATCATGTCATTGATTTTAGATTTTTGATATCATTTTTTTCTCACTACTGTAAAAGTTTAATTTCATCCCAACTCTAGACATTTAAAATTTGTGATTTTTGTGTTCTTTACCTAGTCAACAAGATCTCATTTGTTTTACAAAAGCTATAATGTGACTAAATCTCAAAAATCATTAGCTGAATTTTATGTGAATAAATACAGTCACTCTAGTGTATATACAATTTAATAATTTCTGTTTTAGTTGTAGACTTATCATACTATATCTATGCTTTACAGCAGCATAATTCATATAGGCATATATTAGATTCTTAATTAGAATAGTTTAACAATAATGCTAAAATATTCACAATTAAAAACAAAAGCAATCTTTAAAAAAAAAGAAAGTAAAGCAAGATCTTGGAAACTACTTTTTAATCCTCATGTTTATAAACCTGTATTTAAGTCAGTGTATTTATGAGGCTCTTTAACTGGGAATATGCATTCTGAGAGTACAGGCTTTAAAATATTTACACTACAATATTAATTTTATTTTTATCCCCTACTTGCATTAGATACTTAGAACAAATGCTACATTAGTAAAACGTCCATGTGAGACGATGCCCATTGGCATAAACCCGTAGATCCGATCTTGTGGTGAAGTGGACCGCACAAGCTCGTTTCTATGGGTCTGTGGCAGTGTGGTAATCTGACAAAGCACTATTCTGAAAGTGCTACTCAATCACATCTCAGTACACTCCTGTTAACACTCCACTATTTTACATAGCCTTGGAACATTAGTATTTCCTTTGTTCTTTGTGTATATATTAATCCTCACATGTCTTACAAGGCAAGTTTTAATTGTCGACTTTCTGGAAGTATTTGTAGCAGAGTCATTCAAAGTTAAATTCCAGTGCAATAAACTGCTTTCCAAAGGTTGGTGTTTCTAAATAGCTGGCTTTCAGAAAAAAAAAATCTGTGTGGCTGTTGTCAAGAAACCTCAGCACTTTTTCTGTGAGTTAATGTGTCTTATCCATTTCAACAACAGAGGAAAGTCTATCACTAGATTTTTATGTTACAATGGAGCCAGTGTCTCTTCAAAATTGAGGCCTAACGCTACTGACTTTTAAATTTGCTCACCGCTAATTAAACTGTGGTAACAGAAGACATTTCACATGACCTATACTAGAAACCCACCAGATTAGGGTAGTCCTGTAAGGTACAATTGAAGTTGATTTGTAAACTGCTAGAATATTCTATCCACAACCTTGCCAAGCCCTTAGGTGTTTGGCCGCCATATTTGGAGGAGCGGACTGAAGATATGATAAGGAGTTTGAAGAAACATTGGAAGCTGTGTGCATCCGGGTTGAGGTAGTAGGTTGTATGGTTTAGAGTTACACCCTGGGAGTTAACTGTACAACCTTCTAGCTTTCCTTGGAGCACACTTGAGCCATCGAGGAATTCTTCATCTCTTTAATCTGACTGAGCCAATTTCTGTTCAAGAAAGTAATGTGTCATGAGTATGTGAGGCCTTAGTGCATTTTCCTGATCATTCCAGACCTGACAGTTGGAATTCTGCTTGTGTCTACTTGTGAAGCAATGACACAATGCTATTTCTCATCGGTTGTGATTTTGTGTTTACCATTCTAAAGAACAGATGAATAGTGAATTAAGTTGTGTTAATATTGAAACTTTGGTTTCTTTCCTCAACGGATTCACAAAATTTGATATTTAAAAGAGATTATTGGTTCTTTTTTATTTCATACATAGAAACTACAAATAGAACATGTCTAAATGATAATAAATTCCATAATATATTATCTGTGTTTTCTCATGACCCATCACTTTCTATCTTATGTTATAGCTATATATATGTTTACTTATATTTTCCATACTAGACTGTAAGCTCCTTGAGGGCAAAGTCCATGTCTTATTTTTTGTTGTATTCTTTTACTGCTTATACATCTTAATAGTAAATATTTACAGGATCAATAAATGGGCTATAAGATTTCACTGTGAAGATTTTTTAAATATAAATTTTCTTTATTGACCCAATTAAATTTTCATAACTGTAAGTTCCAGACTCTTCTGAGTCAGTAATATATCGACATTTTTTAATGTTTTGATTTATTCTATAAATACAATTTAAAAATTTGGAATAATTTTTCTCTGGAATAAAAAGTAGAATGAATTTACTACTTACCTCATTATAGTTTCTTGTTTTAAATAATGCATATCTGTGTTAACCATTTAAATACCTTTTTTCCAGACAAACCATTTTTCTTTTAAATAGTAATTTCAACTACATGTCACTTTAAAAGTCTCATTTAATAATTTTAAAACTGCAATTTTTGTGTTTTGTGTGTTTTTCTTCTCTTCTATGTTCTTTCTTTTTCAAATAACTGATTTTTTTTCTGTTGTGAATCCCACAAGCACGTCATGAAATTTAATGATTAAAAAAATGATGTAAAATGCAATTTTAAAATTTGGAAACATTTTCATTTAAAGGAAAGGCATATTATATTAGCATGTAATAAAGTAAATGAGATGTTTTAGAATACTTTTTGCTTGCTGTCCATTTTAGTGTATTCCAGTGTTACAATATGTTACTGATTTCATCTTGCACAGATTATTTTCACCTCTAAATTTAAGTAGCTTTTGACATTAAAACCTTTAATTTATAACTACAATTATCTTAATAAATCATGGAATATATCCTATAATCATACATATTTTATACATATATAGTATGCAAATATATCACCTTAATTTTCAACTTTGTGATCATTAATTTTTTTAGAATATAGTATATAGATATCTAAAATATTTTTATTATTTAAAAGTTACCAGTAACAATACTAAATAAAGAACGTATAAATGCTGGTATACAGAATAAATAAGCATTAGAAATTAAACATCAATTATTTTCAACCATTGTTTTGTGAGATGCAGTTTCCCTAATAGGTAAGTCAAGTCTAGGCCTCACCATGATGCACGGTATGCATTCGAATTTGTGGATTTTCTGCTTTAGCTTTCTGGGGGCGGGAGTTCTAGGCATGTGAAACCAAATCTTACCAAAGTGATTATTGTATATGAGCAATATTACTAGAGTCTCAGGAAAAAAAATGTTTTTGAGATCATGTCCCCAAAAGCAAACTCCAAGAAATAAAGAGAAAGTGTATATTGGAAAATAGAAAGTGATATTCTGTCATATAGTGTTGGTTGGACACAAATATGGGAGAAAAGGCCAAGAAAGTAGTTAGCTAGGATATCTCTGTCATCAATTAGTCCGAAAGGTAGCATTCATTTCGTGTGTGTGTGTGTGTGTGTGTGTGTGTGTGTAATTTACCCCAATACTGGTTGCATAGATCTGGAGGTCACATGATATACCCACTAAAAGGATCAAATACATACTATTGCAAAGGAAGTCCTGATTTCCATTCAACACAGGAGAGTTAATTATACTACCGAGGCCAACTATGATTTGTATCTTAATAGTAAGCTATAAAATATTATAAGAGGTGGCTCTTGAAAGATAGATCAGTCTTGAAGCTTCCAGAAGACCTGAGTTTAGTTTCTAGTACCCACATGAGTAGTTTTCAACACCTTCAACTCTGTCTAGAGGAGATCCAATACCCTCTTTTGGTCTCTGTGAGCATATGAACACCCCCTTAAACCCCCCCACATCCCCCCCACACAGTACACATAAACACATACACACTCTAAAGTAAATATATCAGATTATAGAATTATGATCGTGTGCATGAACTTTCTAAAGAAAACTGGAATTGTAGACACCTGAGGAAGAAGCCTAAGGAAGATGAAACTATAACTCATTACACTGGTTACATAGAAATAGTAGAAATTCTGAAGATCAAGGGGCATAGCAACAGAGAAGAAGAGTTTTAAAACTCTGCGTGGTGAGATAATTCGATTTTTGCCTTAGATTGTGACGTATTTTGCCAAGTCATCTCTAGGGTTGCTAAAATTTCTGTATGTTTCT